GAAGGGCAAAGGAAAGAAAGGCAAAATGGGCAAAGGAAAAGGCAAGTATGGTAAAGATGGAAAAGATGGCAAAGGAGGCTCCAAAGACGGAGCAGCCAATCTTGCCGATGCTGCCCAGGGTAGCACCTCGACTGCTGCCGCAACTACTTTCGTCGTTGACCACTCGAACTTCTACAACCTTTCTTTCATGGCCACTGAAAACCATGAAGCCTTCATCACGCAGCCCTTGACTCCAACCTCGATGGTGTTGGATCTGGGATGCACGAGGGATATGACATCGAGAGTGGCCACGCAGGACATGATGAAGTTCTGCGACCCGAACAAGGACTGTGGCATTTGGTACCACACAGCTGAGACTAGTTCACCTTTGCCAACTCCGAGTCGACAAAGCGCAAGCAGAAGCTCGTCATTTGCATGTACGACCGTGAGTTCTCAGTCCAGTCCACTGAGTTCGACATCGTCGAGCAGGGTCACGTGCCAACCTTGATGTCCTTGCCTCAGATGCGAAATCTCAGGTTTCATTTCGACCTCCAACCGGACAAGGCTTTGTTGAGCAGTCCAATACTGGGGATTCAGAAGATGGAGCTTAGGGTAGCACCAAGTTCTCATCTCGTACTTGATCTTCTTGACCTCAGCAAGTACATGTTGCACGCGCCGTTCCGCAAATTCAAAAAGTCGAGCTTCCTCACTTACTTCTCGCACTACGGTTCCAAAAGACCCTGGGAAGCTCTTCATTTGAAGAGGACCCCGAGGAACCTGAGAACCTCGTTTTTGCGACTGACGATGAGTGGATGATCGACGAGAACAAGATGGAGCTGATCCGCGTGCACAAGAAGATGAGGCAGATCAAGTACGACCCAAAGGATGGACACACGCCTGTGCCGTTGGAGTTCCTGGACACCACCAGGAAAACGATCATGGAGTGCTCCAAGGAAAGGATCGGTACTCAAGAAGATCAATGGACGTCTACTCAGAGTCATACTACCAAGACTCCTGAGTCGTGGAAAGGNNGGTAGGACAGTCTTTCGGATTTTGCCTGGAGGTTTAGAGAGTAGAACTTCCGTTCCGGCTAAGGATCATTTGATCGGTTGGATTCTTGCAGAAGGATATGATTCCTCAACCATCTTTGATCCACGGTTCACCGTTCTGCTGTCCCAGTGTGTCACTGGTCACAGACATTCCGACTTGCGACAAGGGTTTCTGTTTCAAGACATCTTTAAAGACATTGACGATGGAGCTCTTTGCTCTGTGTTTGGATCGGAAAGGAACGCGGAAGCACTGCCAGTTCTTCCTTCTTCTGAGGAGTACTCGCTCTTATCGAATAACTGACAGGGGAAGCTGCCGCAGCCGCTGCACTTTCTCGCACCGCAGAGATTTGTTACGTCGTCATTGGTTCAAACTCTGACTCACATTGACAATCTCCTTCAAGGAACGGAGTTAGAAGTTCACACTACCACTTCGTCAGAGGCCGTCTCCTTAAGGCCGATGAGTAAGAATGTGCGGGTGTTGACTCTTCCGTACCGGGAGTTTGAGTATTGCAATGTTTACAGGGGAACCTTTGGGAAGACTTTGCCTTTGATTCATCGTCACCCTGATGCTATTGTGGTTTTTTGGAACAAGGATGATCATGATCATGTCTTTTTCTTGACAGTGGCACAGCTCCGTCCATGTCTTCAGGATATGCAAGCAGACCATTGGTCCATGATTGTATCAGTGAGACTAGAGGTCCGGCTGCTCGTCGGGGGCCAGATGTAGGTTTGGATTTCACGGACCAGCCTACCTGCTCCTGATGTTTCACAGCAGCCTCCTAACGGCGATGATGTAGACTATCCGACTATCCAGGTTATGAAGATCCGCATGGTGATATGCCTGTGGATGATGAGGAGATGCCACCACCTCAAGGCCAACAGCCTGAACCGGACCTTGACAATGATCCGATAGAGCTGGGCTCTGGCAGTGATCCTCCCGGAGCTCCTCCCGGAGGTGGCACTCTTGTGCCGGTACCGGAGGATGACAGCTCCGACTTGGATATGCCTTATGATCCGTCGAACGATGATGGAGGCCATCCACCAGGAACGGTCCACTTGGACCGGGACGTCCTCCTGGCGCTCCTGGCGCGGTTCCGCAGTTCTCAAATCCGGATCAGGTGTTAAGTCCACCTATGCCGTGGCCTGCACCGGCAACACCGATAGTTATCCGATAGTTCCAGTGCCTATACCTCTGCATCCGCAGTTTCCTGTTCCGCAGAGTTTGAGGCCTCCTTCTCCCAGGCATGTCGCTCCGACGCGTGCGCAAGGTGCACATCCGGATGATGTGTTGAACGCGAAAGCGAGGGCCGTTCATCCTGTGGGACCACCGGTTGTTCTTTTGCCTGGTCAATCAGCAGGGAAGAAGGATCCCGTGCCTGAGGGTGACTTCCCTTCTCATGACGAGCCTGCCTCGTCATCTTCTGGGCCAAGTACGGTTCCAGATTTGCCTGTTACTGATGTGGAATTTCCAATTCTTCAAACTCCCCTGCCAGAATCCGCCCAGGAACCGCCGGTGCCGGATGCTGATGGTGACAGCGATTCGGATGCTACTGTTGACTATCATGAGGACAGCTTGCTTGCTCTTGCAGTTGGTGACGAAGATTCTTCGAAGATGTCTTGATCCGATTGCCGAAGAATGCTGTCTTGGTTGCCTCAGCAAGGAGGATCTACAGGAAGTTGCCAGGGACATTGACCAGATCTCCAATATGCGTGGTCGCCAGAACAGTTGGGCTAAGAACCAGCGGGCTCCGGCTGGGATCGTATATGGAGGCCTCCCTGGAACAGATCCAAGATTCGGATGTGCGACCCTTTGAATGGGCGCTTTCTGAGGGTACCCGCCAGCAGCAGAGAGGTTCGCCAGAAGGCCATGCCTAAGAAGAAGGCAATCGCAGCTTCGGCTGCCGACTCCTCTCTACCTGCAGGAGGCTCTCCACCTGAGGTACCTGTTGTTGACGAGGAAGCCCTTCGCCGACTCATTCCTGAGGAGGAAAATAAAGAGGCAGCCTTGAGGGCTACTGCCACAGAGGGTACCACTCGGTATGCCTACGAGGCAGGGGACACTGTTCACGGCTCGCGGACGAGCGGACGCACACCGTCTCAACAAGAGGAAGATCTCAAGGAGATCCTTCCGCTACAATCCGTGGCACTTCTTGCAGCTCGGATTGCTGCACCGCGTGGATTCGGCAGGGAACAAAATGTTCACCTCTTCTGGAACTTCTGGGGATGCACTTGTCAAGACGACACCGTTCAACAGCCTGCCATCCGAAACGCCGAAGCTTTGGGGGCCGAGTAGAATTCGTGGTTGCAGCATCCGCTCAGCGGATACGGAGTCCACTTCTTCCTCAAGGCGTTCGAGTTGGGGGAGTGCACGGCAACCTGCTTGTTGAGCTGAACGTCAAGAGCAAAGTCTATACCAACGGCTATAAGTCACCTTTCGACAAAGGCTTCGGTAATGACGTCGCCACCATTCTCGACAGTCTCAATGAAGCTCAACACATAGAGTTCGTATCTTTGGTTTCAGAGGTCGGGTTCCGTATGCCACGGACGAAGACCCTCGCGATAAGGAGCAGAAAAAGGACGATCCTGACTATGCTTCGAAGCTCGCTGTGTACAGGGCTTTCATCAAAAAGGGATGTCTACATGGAGATCAAGAACGTCAGGGCTGACCTCTCTATACTGGTTGCAGCAATCTCCAAAGCCTATGGCCCGGAATTTTTCGCCTAAATTCAGAAGCATGCAGCCGACATGGACATTCGGCGCAAGTACAAGATCACCGCACCGGAAGGGTACAATCTTATTGACACTTCTTTGCGCGGCTGCGCTCGCCAATCATCACAAGGACGTCAAGAGTAACGACTTTCGTCCAACTTTGCAAAGAAGGCATGGAGAGTCTCAAGGCGAAGCGCACCCAGGAAATCGAAGAGCTCTAATCGAGGCCTTACGAAGACTTGGCTGTTGAAGAGTTCCTCGAGAAACTTAATGGCCAACCGTCGAAGAGGTCGATGAGCCTATGCAAGGATGCACCAGTGTACTCACCACCTTGTGAGATGGCTGTTGCATCCAATCAAGACGCCACAAGTGTGCCAATGGAGACCGATGCTCCAGAAGGCTCTCCACCTGGAGAGGGATCTGGAGTAAAGGTCGAACAGCCCGAAGGCTCTCCTCAAGGAGAGGTATCGGGCGACCAAGACGTGTACATGGCTGATGCCGGCGACGCCGAGGGCCACGACACAGATGAGGCAAAGAGAAGCTCACCACAAGTGAGGAACCCATGCCGGATATCAACTCGATCCTCTTGCTCCCAAGATGCATCAGATGAAGAACCTCTTCGCGACGAGGGCATCTGCGGGAAGCAGAAGAACGTCGTGGACCCAGGCGCTTATGAAGCAGCTTCTAAAGCCACAGCAAGCGCAGAGGCCGACAACGAGAAGGCCCTTGAGAACATCGCTGGGTCAAAAGAAAAACTACAAGACGCGTGGCCCGAAAGCATCATTCGCGAAGAGTTTAGCGCT